ATAAGCCATATAACAAATCTCCTAGTCTATATCATTCATAGTAATTCTACTCTGATCAAATTGACAGATACACTATAGTATTATTTGAGTACTGTTTAAACATTATACTTATTAAGAAATGAGGGTAGGTAAAAATCTCTTTTTTAATATCTGTTTTTTTGGTGCCTTAAAATTTGTCTTGTTTGATAACAATAATTTAAGTCGCAAATTTTGTAAATCAGAAAGTGAGATGCTATCTGCATTTCACAGACAAGAAAATATAAGTTTCTAGTCACCTTAGCTTATATGTTGTAGGGATGTAGATTGAATGCAAGTCTTCTGAAAGACACACATAAAAGCCAATTCTATATGTGCCTCACAAGCAAATTATGTACAGATAAATCAGATCAAACTCAGAAAATAAAGAATTTTGAAGGTTGCTCAGTGGAGAGTCATTCTTCTCAATCCAATACAGTACTTGCTTATGAAAATATATTTTTATTTCTCTACGAATAATTTTTTAATGACTTTAAAGCCTTTGCCTACTTTTCTAAAGTACCAGAGAGTAGTTTAGAACCCAAATATAACTGTCTTGATTGTGTGGCCTTCAGAGTTGTTTCCAGTGTGTTTTCTTCTACCACTAGCCTTGCTTTTTAAACATTAGCCATACATATTTCAAAGACTATTCATAGTACAAAAGACTCAACATAATATTAATCCTTAGTAAATGTTTGAAATGTATCAATTAAATATAACATTAGAAACATAAGAGTACCATTTACATTTTGAAACTCTCATTGAAACAATTGATTTTTTTTCTGTGAAAAATCAATATTAAGAAAAGGCAGGTTAGAACTTACTAAATGGAGAAAAGAAATTAGAATTTTAATATGAATGGATGTGTCCCATCTAACCAAACATTAATATGAGTTACAGAGTTTGTACTATAATTATACAAATTCCTTGAACTTATATTCTTCGAGTTCCAGAAATTGATCATTTGAATTTTAATTAGTTAAAAGTATTTGAACTTCTTATTTAAAGAATTTATCATTGCTCCTTTAAAATTTCAGCTTTGTGTGTGTGTGTTTTTTTTTTTTTTTTTTCATTTCAACTCCCCTGGTGAATATTTATTTTCCGAGATATGGCCTCGTGAGTCATCCTAACACATCATCTTTCTCTTTGCATCTGTTATAAATATAATACCTCTTTGTCAGCTAGAGCATTACATGGCTCTTCTTTATGTTATGTATAAGCATTTACCAAAAGATATATAACTTAGCAATGTAATTTTCTCAGAGTGAAATATATGGTAGCTAGCCTCCAAATATCACCCAATGATTCTTACTTGCTGGTATGCACACCCTTATATAGTCTCTTCCAACACTAAATATGACTGACCTGTGTAACCAGAAGGATTTTGTAGAAATGAAAGTATGTGATTTCTAAGTCTAGCTCATGAAAGCATTGTGGCTTCTATGTTATTCTCTCTTGGATCACTCACTCTAGGGGAAGCTGCTTGCCATGTTGAAAGGACACACCAGCATTAACTTGACAACCATGTGAGTGAGACATCTTGCCAATTGTTCTGCCGCCCCATAAAATCTTTCAAATGTCTGCAACCTCAAGAGATACCCTAAGTCAGAACCACGCAGCTAAGCCATTCCAAATTCCTGACCCATAGAAACTGTAAGAAATAATAAATAGTTATGTTGTTTTAAACCATTTACTTTTGAGGTAATTTATTATGCAGCAATAGATAACCATTACAAAATATAATAACATTTCATCTTTTCTTCTTTTTTAAAACTAAATGAATTGGGCTGACTTTGGTTAATAAAATTATATAGGTTTCAAGTATACAATTTTATTTTATAAACATTTTACTTTTTTACATCTCTACAATTTTATTAGATGTATTTATTAATTTTTAAAGTTGGTCGAACTGACGATTAAATAAAAATTTTGTGGTAAATATCTGTTTCTTCATAACGTAAGAAATTGTTTTAAAATACAAATGATGGCACTATTCATACCTTTAAGCAACATCCAACAGAAAACCTACTACGTGACAGGCATTCATATACAGAGATATATAAGACAGTCCCTTTCTTGGATGGGTTTAAGTTTCTAAGGGAGATGGATAAGAGAACAGATCCTTATAATATAATGTGTTAACTGAAGTAATACAAGTGCTGATAAAGCACAAAGGAATGAAAGCACAGTACAGTAAATTATTCTTAGGAAGTCTGAGAATGTTTTATAAAAGAAGGGGTAGGTATTGAAGAATGAATAAAAATTCTCTAGATAGAAAATTGAGGAATAAATCTCTAATAATGATATTTATATTTATACAGTGCTTGTGATAAACCAGGTTTTCTTCTAAGCACTTCAAATATATTCACTTACATAATTCTCTTAATCTCATTACATAGGTACTATTATTATCTCCACTTTACCAGTGATAAAATTGATACAGAGAGAGGCAAAGTGTCTTTAATATCACACAGCTAGCAAGTGGTAAGGTCTGGATTTAATGTGAGGAAAATCTAGCACCGGAGTTCACATTCTTAATTACTTAAATATGCTTTCTGCTGCACTGGGGTGGGAGAGGGGAGGAACGGTATAAGCACAGGCATCAAGCAGTGAGAGTAAATGATAATCTAGAGAAAAAAAGAAAAACAGGAAGAACAGTATTAAGTATGGCTATAAAAAAGTACATGAGCTGAATTACGAGAAGAAAATACAGAGCTAAGTCAAGAACTTAAATTTCATGCTACGAAATTTAAGCAAGAGAAATTGTTGATGAAATTTGTTTTATGAAGATAACTTGGGAGCGATGTTAAACAGGAGACACTGGATGAGGGAGACAAGAAGAAATTGTATTAATTCCCTCAAAATAAAGTCAAGGTCTGAAGTGTAGTAATGGATATGGTGGTAATAAGAGGAGGGAGCAAATTTATGAGACATATGAGTTAGCTGTCATGGAGTATGATGACTAATCAGATGGCAAACAGGTTTAAAAGATGACTTGCAGGTTTCTTTTTGTGGGGAATGGATAGATGGTTAGGTCATTAATAAATATAGAAAACTAGACGAGGAGGCCTCACATAGACAATGTGCTTAATAATCACTTGAAAGAACTGAAGTAGTAGTATCACAGAAGCTGTTTTTACCAGTAATGCCAGTAACATAAGTATTATCCATAGTACCTAATCGTGGTGGTCCAGGGAAGCTCTACTGTGGATTATAAGTGTGTTTTACATTTAAGTAATCTAATCTGAAAGTCTCATTATAGTAGCTGCTCATTTTAGAAAATAATTAAGAAAAAATTGTAACAGAAATTTCTGTAATGCACTTGTTAAATTATTAACTTTACAAATATTAAATTGACATATTCTTAATATTACAAACACTAAAGAATTATATTTTATAATCATATTTGATTCTAAAATGTAAATGAATGAAATTTTTAAAAAATGAAAGAAAAGAAATATCACACTCAATATAGGATCAAAGGAACTAAAAGCTAGAGTAATATATAATCAATTATTTTTCACTTAAAAATCTAGGTCATAATTTTATACTATGGGCATTTCAATTGTACATTCTTTTAAGAGCCTAACTTACAAAAGATACTAAAAGTACTGCTTTTTTCGAGCAGAGGTTTAAGCTTCTGGATAAATAGCCCTTTTGCTCTGGTTGATACCATGGGATTTTATATGTTAGATGGTGCTTACTTTAGCCCAGCTACCAAGGGTACAGTTTGCAGGGTCGTGTCAGTCACACCTCCATGTCAATACACCCAAATGATATAGTTTTATAACCTCATGATATTTATACTTGTATTTCTTTTAATATAGCCATTTCCTGGCACATGTAATAGAGTCCTGATAAATAATTGTTGAATGAATAAAAATTCATAATGAAAAATAGAAAGTCTCTGAGTATATAGAATGTACCTTATAGTAATTATAGTTTCTAGGTCCCATTGATTTCATTACCACTGAAGAAAGAAAATGGGATGTGGGAGGTGGGCAGTGTAGATATAAAGGAGCAGCACATCAATAGGTTAGTAAAATGTTTTTGCTTGTGGTAAAATGGTGATAAGCATAAAGTCATTTATCCATTTATTTAATACTTATTGAGCACCTGACGGAGTCCTTCCTTTAAGAAACTCACAGTCAATAGTGTATCAGATGAGAAAACAGACAAATAACTTTTAAAATATAAAAAGACTTTAAACAAAGGAAGGAGCACCTGACGGAGTCCTTCCTTTAAGAAACTCACAGTCAATAGTGTATCAGATGAGAAAACAGACAAATAATTTTTAAAATATAAAAAGACTTTAAACAAAGAGAAAAACAATATATTCAGAGATTGAATAAACCGTAATGAAAATCTGTCTTTCCTCACTTGTGCTATTCTTATTTCACTTCAAATCCATAAGAACACATGGACACTCAAGATGTAGTATCTCATTACAAGTCATCCTGGAAAATCTTTTTAACACACTTTATTTTCAAGAACTCAAAATAGGATATTTTAATGGGAGGAACAAAGAGTTTGTCTGGAAAAGAAGCTTGAAGCCAGATGGTAGGGGGACTTCGAAATACTTTACACTATTTTCCATTTGCTCAAAAATTTTGTATTTGGCTTTATTTTGTCTTATTTTTCCTACTGTAAAATCTACTAATTACCATTTATTAATGGTTGATAAAGTCCCAGTTCCAAAATTAAAGACACACTTAAACTTTTTGATCATCATCTTCATGAAATTATAACATTCAACCTTTGCTCGGCTCTACAAATAAGAAAATCTATTTCATTTTGAAATCAATGAGTACAACAGGCAAAGAATAGAAGGAAAAAGCAAAGAAGGAAACTAGACTTCAGCGACCTTCAAGCACACTTGTGGGGTGCTTTATTTATTATATTAAAATGGGGTGAAGAGAAACAAAGCCAGATCTGGAGAGAATACTGTTGCTATTAATTTAAAAGCCAAATTTCAATGATCTTACCTGAAAAGTTTTTGTAATCCACTAAATCAAACATAACAACGGCAACAGCTGACCATGTGATTATCAGAGCAATGACCAGAAGCCAGGCTGCTGGGGAGCTAAATGTGGTCACTATGTCCTCTGTGACTGTCCTCTTCAGTATTTTTCCAGGAGATTTGGGTACAGATCCATTTTTGTTGTCTATAACCGTTGTTGTAGTAGATGCATTTCCTAATCGACATTCAGAAAGGAGAATTACATTTTAGAAGTTTACATCAAATATCGATGACAAAACAACACAGATTATATAAGTATATGTAAGTTGCTTGTACCATCTTTTTTATAATAGAAGACACCTCTTTTGTGGCAGGGCCATTCCTTGCTGCCTACTGCCACATTATCCTTTCCTTGGCATTTACCTCCCTCTCTGAAATCTGTAAGCTCTCACAATCAGCACTCATTGTGTCCCATGTTCCATAAATGCTGCCATTCAGGCCACAAACCTTGACATCATCTTGATTTCATTTTTGCTTCTCTCTTGCTACCTCCTATATGCACTAACATAACAGGCAAGAAGTTTTTTGGTCAAGTTGCTTTTTAATAACTTTTTCCTTTGTGCAAGCAAAAATATCTTGCTTGCATAGATATTTCTGGGAGAGAAACAAAATCAATAATAAAAGAGTTCAAATGGATAAAATTCCTTTTGGATATCCTGGCTTAACTGTATAACTGACCTTTCTATTGAGTCCATTCATTTTTATTTGTGAAGGAGCACAGAAGAACCAAAACAATAATGTGGGAAAATCTTATTATATCTAGTAACTTTTTTATTCCTGCTTTCAAGAGTCTACTTGTTCATGAGAGAAAATTTTAAAAATACAAAAATAGCAAAATGAATAAATAGATAGATAATTCTTTATAATCTTACCATCCATAAAGAACCACTGTTGACATGTTCCATTTACATCTATTTTTATGTACCTACATATAGAAATATATTTTATTGATTTTTGACAAGTCATCATCATACTGTTCTTTACGTTTTTAATAGACAATGTATACTAAACATGCTCTCTTGAAATACATGTTCCATAAAATTCCATTTAAGTGGCTGTACACATGTCATTTCATAGCTGAGCAAAATTTAATAAAAAAGCTTTCTACCTTAGAATATGGCAAAAGTTTTCTCAGCACACATTAATAATTATTTATTTGGAGAAATTTCTACATATAAAATTTCTAGAACAAATAATAACTTTTATATATTTTGAGAATATATGTATGTATTTGAAAATAAGCATACTTTTGAAAATTGTGTAGACCAGCAGTCTGTTTTCCTGTTCTTGACAATAATGGGTGTTACAATTTTTTTAAAAAGTTTGCAATCACACTGGGAGAAATTTGCTTCATTTGCAACTCTTCGATAACTAAAGATGAGCTTTTTGCATGTTTATTTTTTTTCTGTATTTCTTGTAAAATTTTTGAGCCCTTTTAATAAACCTCTTTTTAGTGGCTTATAAAATTGTGTACACATATACATACATAGCTACATATATATGTACATATATGTAAATATGTTTGTACATACATAGATGTATATGTAGATACATGCATATGTATTTACATATATGCCTGTGTATATACATAGATGTATACATACAAAGGATCTTAACATTTTATCTGAGCTTTATGTTGTAATTTTTTCCTGCAAGTTTGACTTTTTCTTTTTATGGTATTTTTTATGTACAGAATGAACATTTTAAAACTGTGTAACTTTTTTCATTTTTCTGTGATAATGTCTACCTTTATATATCTAGAAAGCCCATCACAATAGAGAGTAGGCATATCTGATTATCTTGACTCATAATAAGTTAAATCTGAAGGAAATTTAGAGATCATCTAAAACAACTATTTCATGTTACATTTAAGAACAATTGAAGACTAACTAGAAAATTTAAATGCCTTTCATAACATTTTCAATCCCAAATTTACACAGATGTGTAGTAAATATTGAATACTAAAATATTCCTAATAATACTAAACAATCCAAATATTTTTGCCAAAATCACAGCTTAAAAACATACTTCATGTATTTTAAATATAAGCCTCACTGTCTATAATAATTTAAGCATTACATATTAAGAGAGAGAAAATTTTGATTAATCATAGTTAATATATACTTAAATATTTTCAATTTTACATGTATTGCTAATTACATTTCCAAAATAAAAAGAAAGCAAACCCTAAATTTTCAAACTTTTTAAACATATTTCACGAAACAAATTTTATGTAACTGGAAAGACTTCTTGTGGTTATTCAGAACGTACTAAAAAATAATGGAAAGGTTTTAGTCTTTTAAAACTGAAGGGAATTCTTTGTACTCCTTGAAGCCCTCAGAGTGAAATTACAGTGTTCCTTTCCATCCTTCAGCCTCTTGCTCTACCTTCCACAATTCTTCCTTCAGTTAGGTCTAGCTTTTCCACAAAAACAGTAAGGCGAATAAGTTATGTTGTGGGTTTTATAGACAAGAGAGATTGAGATTGACTCCTTGCTCCTCCCTGCATTAGCTGAATGGCTGGAAGGGCCCTACTTCACCTCAGCTCACTTCTGAGTGAAAAGAATCTCTATGTGAGGAATAAAGTTGTATGGCTCAATTTACAGGTTTTTGGTGGGGGAGAAATAACTCATGTCAATTGCTTGGCATATTTCCTACTATGTGGAATTATTCAGTAAATGACAATATAACAGCTACTGAACTGTCCTTATTATCATCACCATCATCATTACTATTACCACCACCTCATGGCTACTGCTATGATTATGACTACAATCATTACTATCATAAGAAGAGGTTAGGAGGCAGGATTAACTTTAGAAAAAAAGGCTGAGGAACTGATTCTTCGATAAATGCAGGCATTTATTTACAATTAGTAAGCATATACATTAGGCTAAGGTATTTTCCGGGAACCAAAAAATGATGCTATGACTGACTCAATGTCTTTCCCAATCAATTAATTGATTTCTTGAAATACAGGAAAAGAGGGACACATACTATAATTTATTCATATTAATGAAGACTGTTTTGTATCATTAACGAAATTAAGAGAGATTATTTGTAATGAAGTAATTTTGTTATAGTACAAATGTTATCAGTGTAACTGAATTCTTTAAACCAGAAAGATAAAGTTTGAATCTCCAAACAGATGTGTACACAACAAGGTGCTTATGGTATAAATCCAGTTCATAAGACAGTTTTTAGTTTGGGGGAAAGAAATGAAAATATCGCATGCAAATACTCTAGTTAATAAAGTTTTGCTCTTTTTGTTTCTTTTACCAAAAAGGGTACTATTCTATTCATAAAAATAAGATAAATGACATAAAAGTCTATGACTGACTAGAGAAAAGAAAATAAAATACATTCATATTAGTAGATATTAATAATAAATAAACATAATGCAACTATTTTTATATGACAATGGTAAATCTAAGCCCATATTTTAAAAGGATTAAAAAGCTGACAGGGAATGTGATTAGTAAATGATTTAATTAAAGTTTTTAAATGACTTTAGGTAAAAATTCACAATAGCGACAATGAGTCTACCTTCTTTTTTGAAAAACTGTATGAATATATATCCCAAGTTCATGAACTCAATTTAGTCAAAATGATAGCAAGATGGAAAAAATACCTTTGAAAAACATATTTCACAGACTGTACTTGAGATGGTGCTCAAAGAAGGAAAAATTATAAAGAACTCATATCATATCCTCTCATTGATTTTTGTGCCAAATTCCCATCACTTTTAATGGCAGTTCTGAAAATGGATAAATGATAGAAGTGCTTTGAAATGTGATTTAAGACCCAAGTGGGGTTACAAGTGAATCAAACCTTAGGAATAATGATTTGCAAGAGAGTAAGTGAATTATAAGTGTTTAGGAGAGGCCTACCTGAAAGTTGATATGTTGCTAATCTCCAGTTTTTTTAACTTCTGGAAGGCTTCCTACTACCATTACATAGAGAACACTGGAAAAATTGCTTTTGCACTTCAGATTCACTTCAGTGAACTGTATATTAGAGAGCATTTCTATAGATAATATTATACACACCTGCTTGGCATCTTGTAACTAAAAGAATAAATTTACTGAGATTTGATATCAATTAGTTGAACCCTGGTCATATTTTTATAAGAAAGAAATTTTTTAAAGAAAAAAGAATTTGTACGTTTTTCCTTTTTGATCAGAAAAAGAAGAAACTATATAAATTCAAGAAGTAATATAAGTTCAGAGTTAAAATGCAACTTTTTATTTTTAAAGAACTAAAGAACTGATATATAGATAGATGAGAGATAGATGAGAGAGAGAGAGAGAGAGAGAGAGAGAGAGAGGTAGAAAGAGATATGTAAATATCTCTCTCTATATGTATGCATTCCAAATTTTATTTCACCTTATAATCCTGCCAAAACAAATATGCTACAGTGTTTTAAATAGATGAAAATGATAGTTAACATTAAATGATTTTGAAAGTATTTCCTATTTTTTTTCTTTACAGCCTCAAATTTTCCACTTAGGAATTAATCAAGACTCAAAGGTGAGTGAAATACATTCTGAGTATCAACTGCAAAACCACAAGCAATTTGAAAGTTATCTTGCTTAAAAAATTATTTTTTGCCTTTCTTATGGAAATACACCAAGTTGTACCTTTCTTTTTCCATTCAAAATTAGTGCAGAAGCCACTCAGAGCCAAGCAGAATAAAACTGAGGGGAAATAAATTGCCTGCTCTGACAGCTGGTCAAGATAAATGCAAAGAACAGAGTGTGTAATCTGAGATTATTTAATGTTTGAGCAGCACTTTGAAGATGACAAGAGCTAGTTATTGATATGGCGGAAAAAATGGGAGGTAAATACTACTGAGCAATTTGATATGGGCAATGCTTCTTGAAAGTTGGCATCTCAGAGTTGGAGCAGAGCAGCTAAGATATGTAACAGCACTTTCCATGCCTACTTTTTAATTTCATTGCTTTTGATTTCATACAAATTATTTTGATTGCCAGACAGCCAGAATCAGCTTCAAAAGAAGCGGAGATCTGGCTAAAAGGCCATGTGACTCTGCTCCAAAGTAAAATGAAGGACTGCTTAGGCAGTGGTTCCAAAGACCAGCTTTACAGTCAGGTTATGCATGGAAGAATAAATCATAAGCCTCCTGAAAGAAGTCATTTAGCTTCATCATGCCTTA